CCTTGCTCTTACTAGGCAGGCACTCTGCCACCTAAGGCATGTCCTCAGTTCTTTTTGCTTTTGTTATTTTTCAAAAGCAGTCTTACTTTTTGCTCTAGTGGTTAGACTGTAATCTCCTAGTTGTGTCTCCCATGTAGCTAGGATAATAAGCACACTAACTATAATAAGCCTAACTATTGATGGAGATGGAGTTTGGTGTAGAGCAAAGCATTTGTACTTCTTTGTGTCAAATGTCAAAACAGAAGCAAGAACGACTTTTCCTCATGGGCAAGCCAGCATTGTGTGCTAGGCCAAGAAAGGCCTTAGCTGAACTCTACTTTCACTTTGAAAAAACAAATCCTAGTGCTGGTGTGACCTGAATCTGCTGTGACCCAGGATGAGATTCAAGCATTCTTGGGCATCAAAGCACTATTACTGAGAGCAGGTGAGAGAAACCCCCTCACATCTCCTCAGGGCTCTGCCCACCTACCTCCATCCTCCACCCAGGGCCAAAAACTGCTGTTTAGCTGGGCACCAGTGGCTCACACTCCTAATCTTAGCTACTCAGGAGGCTGGAATCTGAAGAGCATGGTTCAGAGTTAGACCTGGCAAGACAGTCCATGAGACTCTGATGTTTTTTTGGTTTTTTTGGGGGGAGTGGGGATGGGGTCGGTCAAGGGGCTTGAACTCCAGGCCTGGGCACTGTCCCTAAGCTCTTTTGTTCAAGGCTAGCACTCAACCACTTTGAGCCACAGCTCTGCTTCCGGTTTTCCAGTGATTCATTGGAGATAGAAGTCTCATAGACTTTGCTGCCCAGGCTGGCTTTGAACCACAGTCCTCAGATCTCAGACTCCTGAGTACTAGGATATAGGTGTGAGCTACCTGCGACTGGCTCCATGAGACTCTTATCTCTTTTAATCACAGAAAAAGCTAGAAGTGGTGCTGTAGCTCAAGTGGTAAAGCCTTGACCAAAAGGAGCTTATGGACAGTGCCCAGGTCTAGAGTTCAAGGCCCAGGATCAGAAAACAAAACAAACTTGTGTTTAAGTAGGTATTTCAGTTCTCAGGGATGGAATACAGCTTTCAGAGCTTCTGAACCCTCAGGGAGAGAGGTGGTGAGAGGAAACTTTGGGGCCACCCCCTACTCCATACTGCCCCTTAGCAAGGATTTCTATCCCCTCCCATCCATCTCAGTGTCTACCCCAACTTTTAGTTTTTGTTTTAGCCCTAAATGTAAAAATTCAGAAGGCTGATGTCATGGAACTCATGGCCCTTTAAAGTCTTGTGGAATCCTGTGGCACTTTTTTGCAACTTAATGGGGTTTCTACCGAGTTTCCTTAAACCTTTTTTTTCTCAATTGTATGTTAGTATTAAATTATGTTTTCACCTATATCTTGCAAGTAAAAAGTAAAAAAAAATAAAATCCGCGTGTGTGTGTGTGTGTGTGTGTGTGTGTGTATGTGTGTGTGTGTATGCGCACGCATGCATGTGTGTGAGTGTGGTATGTTTTGGTACTGGGGCTTGAACTCAGGAGCCTTGTATTCTTGCTTGGCTTTCTCACTCAAGGCTGATGCTCTACCACTTGAACCACACCTCTACTTTTTTTGTTGTTGGTCTTGGGGCTTGGGCACTCTGGGCCTGGGCGCTGTCCCTCAGCTCTTCAGTTCAAGGCGAGTGCTCTACCACTTGAACTAGAGCACCACTTCCGGTTTTCTGGTGATTTATTAGAGACAGGAGTCTCACGGTCTTTCCTGTCTGGGCTGGCTTTGAACCATGATCCTCAGATCTCAGCTTCCTGAGTAGCTAGCATTACAGGTGTGAACCACCAGCACTCGGCCAGCCTCCACTCTTTTTTTGTCAGTCGTGGGGCCTGAACTCTGGGCCTGGGCGCTATCCCGCAGCTCTTCAGCTCAAGCAAGGCTAGTGCTCTACCACTTGAGCCACAGAGCCACTTCTGGCTTTTTCTGCTTATATGGTGCTGAGAAATCAAACCCAAGGCCTCAAGCATGCAAGACAAGCACTCTACCACTGAGCCACCTTCCCAGCCCCTCCACTTCTTAAAATCCACTTTTAAAGCTTGTTCTTCATAAATATATGTTCCCAAAGGCTTTTCATGCAGTTTTTGTGGTAGATACACTTCTTAGTAGTGAAGGGTTAAAATACCCAGTGCTGTCACATATGGCAATGAGGAGAATCACAGATGTTGAGGATACCATATAATTAGTATTCTTTCATGTAAATGAAGGCTGCCAGCATGGGTCTACTCGCTGAAGCTGGAGTCTGTGCCTCTTGGTCTCACCTAGACCAAGACCAAGTAGGATTATTCCACAATCCTTAGTTAAGAACTGAGAAAAAAAAATGAGAGGAAACAAATATAGTTACAGTAGATTCCCTTTAACTTTCTAATTTTTTGGAATTTTTTTTTCATGGTACCTGGGTTTGAACTCAGGGTTTTTTCCTTGCTACCACTTGAACTACTCCTAGCCCTAAAAGACATTTTCAAGCTATAGGATTGTGTGATGTATGTGCCTTTACTGGAACTTGAACTCAGGGTCTCAAGTTCTCCCTTGTTTTTTTTTTGCTCAAAGTTGGTGCTCTACCACTTGACCTATATCTCTACTTCTAGCTTTTTGCTTGTTAATTGTAGATAAAAGTCTCACAGGCTGGGCTGGGAAGGTGGCTCAGTAGTAGAGTGCTTGCCTTTATGCATGATGCCCTGAAGGAGATTATGTTTAGTTAGAAAATGGATAAAAATTACATATCCCGAGAAATGTTTTAAAGAATATGTAGGGGGAAATTAGTAGAAAATAGCAGTAGCTAGAATAATAATAATTAGAAAAATATAGTAGAAATTAAGCCCTTAAAAGTAGTCAAATAGTCAGGCACCTGTGGCTCATGCCTGTAATCCTAGCTACTCATGAGGCTGAGCTCTGAGGATTGAGGTTCAAAGCCAGCATGGGCAGGAAACTCCGTGAGACTCTTATCTCCAATAAACCACTCAGAAAACTGGAAGTGGCGCTGTGGCTCAAGTGGTGGAGCACTGGCCTTGAGCTGAAGAGCTGAGGGATAGCACCCAGGCCAGAGTTCAAGCCCTACAACTGACCAAAAAAAAACCAAAACAGTAGTCAAATAATGTCATGTTCTAATTTGACTGAAGATAATCTGTCTACAGCTTACTTTCCTTTGTGTGGTTTGAGGGTTTCTTATCTGCAGAGCAATCTTAAGAGGGGAGGGAGAAGTGAGAGAGAGAATTTCTGGTTTGGGGATTTGGGGTGAGGAGACTTCAAGGTTCCAAAGAATAAAAAAGGTTTATTGTAGCCAGGCACTGGTAGCTCACACCTGTAATCCTAGCTACTCAGGAAGCTGAGATCTGAGGATCATGGTTCAAAGCCAGCCCAGGCAGGAAAGTCCATGAAACTCTTGTCTCCAATAAGCCACTAGAAAACCGGAAGTGGTACTGTAACTCAAGAGGTAGAGCGCTCGTCTTGAGCTGAAGAGCTGAGGGACAACGCCCAAGCCCAGAGTTCAAGCCCCGTGACCGACAAAAAGGGGGGGGGGGCTGGAAAGGTGGCTCAGTGGTAGAGTGCTTGCTTTGCATGCATGAGGCCCTGGGTTTGATTCCTCAGCACCACATAAGCAGAAAAAGCCGCAAGTGGCGCCTTAGTTCAAGTGGTAGAGCTCTAGCTTTGAGCTGAAGAGCTCAGGGACAGCACCCAGGCCCAGCGTTCAGGTCCCACGACTGACAAAAAAAAAAAAAAAAAGGTTTATTGTGAAATAGTTATCTAACTTCAGTCCCCGGAATTGTTGACTATTAGGTTTTTCTGACTAATACTGAATAAGTAATGCTAGAAAGGAAAAAGTGTGGGGCTGGGAAGGTGGCTCAATGGCAGAGCACTTGCCTTGCATGCATGAGGCCCTGGGTTTGATTCCTCAGCACCACATAAGCAAAAAGAAAAAAGTTAGAAGTGGCGCTGTGGCTCAAGTGGTAGAGAGCTAGCCTTGAGCTGAGGGACAGTGCCCAGGCCCAGAGTTCAGGCCCACGACTGGACCCCCCCCCCAAAAAAAAAGGAAAAAGTGCTACCATTTTCATGTACATCATCTAGCAGATTCATTCCTTTTGTCATCTTGTCCTGATGGTTGGCAGCAATATTGTCATTCCAGTAGGTTGAGTCCAGGTCCAGGCCCTTTCTGGGCAAGTACGCTACTGTTTGAGTCATGCCCTTGTTGAAAATGCAGAGTTTTGCATCTTGAGTTTACTCTCACACTGGGAGAGTATTGTTTCCTGCATAGTTGGAATGATAAGAGTCGTGCACCACACTCAGCTTGTTGGGTTGGTAGCGGGGTCGCTAACTTTTTTTTTTTTTAAACCAGTTCTGGGGCTTGAACTCGGCTTGGGCACGGTCCCTGAGCTGCTTTTGCTCAAGGACTGTGGAATCGAACCCAGGGCTTCCTGCATGCTAGGCAAGCACTCTACCACTCAGCCACCTTCCCAGCTCCTTGGAGGTTGCTAACTTTGGTCATGGCTTGACTCAAACTGGGATCCTCCCAATTCCTGCCTCTTGCATAGCGGATTATAGGGTTGACACTACACTGGGTTACCCGGTTAGGTTTGTTTCATTCTTTTCTGACCTCTTCTTTCACTAAAGAAAATGAAAATGTGCCCATGTATTCCACAAGATGTAAACATTCTTTTCAAAGGGACAGACTTGTTACGTAAAGTGAGGCTCATCCGAAGTGAGATGTATAGAAGGCTTTCTGTAGCCTAGCTCTCCCTGGTGCTACGTCTCTGCTTGGAAACACCTTGTGCCCAACCTGAGTGTGCCTTTCTGTGCGAGGCGCTCAGCTGTGAATTGGAAATGGGGTGATTTCAAAGGAACCGATTTTTAGTTGAAAACGAATGGCTCTTAGGTTGGAATGCCCATGGCAGCAGCCCCTCCGGTGGGAAGCTATTTTGCTTAAAGAATTCTTTTCCTTTTGGGGGGGTCGCTGTGCCAGGTTAAGAGCGTGGCGACTGCGCGAGACATGGATAGATGCAAACATGTGGGGCGGTTACGGCTCGCCCAGGACCACTCCATCCTGAACCCGCAGAAGTGGCGCTGCCTGGAGTGCGCCACCACCGAGTCGGTGTGGGCGTGCCTCAAGTGCGCGCACGTGGCCTGCGGCCGCTACATGGAGGACCACGCGCTGAAGCACTTCCAGGAGACCGGGCACCCGCTGGCCATGGAGGTCCGCGATCTCTACGTGTTCTGCTACCTGTGCAAGGACTACGTGCTCAACGACAACCCCGAGGGGGACCTGAAGCTGCTGAGGAGCTCGCTCCTGGCCGTGCGGGGCCAGCAGGACCGGGCCGGGCGCGGGAGGACGCTGCGCTCCATGGCTTCGGGCGAGGACGCGGCCCTGCCCCCGCCGCCGCGCGCGCCTCACGGACAGCCGCAGATGCTCACGGCGCTGTGGTACCGGCGCCAGCGCCTGCTGGCCAAGACGCTGCGGCTGTGGTTCGCCCGGAGCTCGCGGGGCCGGGCCAAGCTGGAGCGTCGGCGGCAGGAGGAGGCGCTGGAGCACAAGAAGGAGGCGGCGCGCCAGCGGCGGCGCGAGGTGAAGCGGCGGCTGCT